ACATGGCTCAGCCACAATCCGGAAAGCACCAGACGCGTTTCGCCCTATTGCGGCTCGTCTGTGGTGCTCTGCATATACTGATGTATTGTATATGTGTGTCGTATTCCATCATCACCGATTGAAAACTTGGATCGCTGTGCCCAATCCCTCCAGGGCTGCTTCCTTGTTGGGGGCGTTTGGACACACAATGGGGTCGCAAACTTGGGAGCACAGTAAAAGTTCACCGGAACTTGACCTACGTACCGTGCGCTGCATGGTCGTGTTTTTCAAGTCTGCAAGTCTATCAGCAATGTTTCGGTCTTAAGTTCCATCCGTCTTACTTCTGATTAGAGTCCAATATCGCCCAGTATGTTGCACATTGATCTTACTTTAATGGTTCAGTAAGAGGTAGTGAGTACAAGAATAGTGCGACCGACTCATTTCGGAAAGCACAAACACGTAAATTTACATTGCAAAAGTAGCAGCTGTAGAAGGCAGTAGCAAAATCTACAAAAACAAAGAAACTTCAGACTCAAAAGGTATGCTAGTCACTAAAAATATATAAGTACCTTATTACGTATCTGTTGTAGGAATATCGAACTAGTAAGTAATGATATTAGTTTGTATGATTACTGCTTCTGTTGACCCTTCTAATTAACAACATCTGCTCTCGTTCCTCTCCAGCGGTTACAGAATTCATCATCGTTGGAGTACCCATAACGTCATGCATGTCAACCGAACAAATGAAGTAAGTCTACTTCATTGAAAGGACGAAGTTGTTGAAGCTCCTACCAGTGGATATGAAACTAGGAAGTATTGCCTCCAACAACGTCCACCAGTAACATTATGAATGACAGTTAGGAGGTGTTTTTAGCCTTGATTTCAGTGCGCCACATTGTCATTTCCGTCACGTTTCGTTACTGGCCACTGAAAGTGGTTTTCGAGGATAGAGTGGACCCGGTTTCGGATTTGCCTGTCACTGTGGCAAGCCACAGGACGCCTGCGCCTACAGAGGGACCATGGATGGCTTGCGCTGCATCACCCACAGCTCCATCCACACACCCCATATCCAATGTAAACCCGAAGGAATAAGACTGGGAGGCAAGTGGATGGGAGCCACGTTTCATCAACGGAGCCGGCCCACACTCCTTCACAGGCAAACACAAGCACACTGTATTTGGGAATCAAGCGCACACAACGCGGTGGCTGGACCGTAGTCTGCTCCACACTGAGTGCATGGAACCACTCTTTGATCCTAACACGGCCACAAGGACCGTGCACCCCCGTCCCCTCCAGCAACGACCAATTGTCTCCTGGAGCCAGTATGGACGATGTAGTGGGTAATAGACAGGCAGGCACCTTGTCAACATGCACATCAAGCGCAGCCACACCGGGGATAGCAACAACAGCCAAACACTTGAGAGAAAGAAAGAAAAAGAGAAAAACTCGATTAATGCATAAGGAAACGGTGATATAAACCTCAATTTAATAAGCATACGTAATAAGTTTTTTACAAACAAATCCTAACTATGTGCACGAGGTCAGGAAGTATAGTTCACGGAATGCCACGAACACAAAAATGTTATGGAAATCGAATACAATTGGCTGAAGCGATGTGTGCAAGTTAATGGAATAGAGTACAGGGAGATATTTATATGAGAAAGAAAAGCATTAAGGTAAAAACTGTAAACCCACCACCTAAATAAAGAGACTTAGCATGCAAGCACGCGGTTAGTAAATCGAATTCAGCGTGCCTACAAACGCTGCGCCGGCTCGTCGTAATTCTCTGCAGGACCAGTCGTCGCTTCTGTATTGGCCCCAAATGGCACAGCGCATGGCCCACTTGCCCAATAGACATTTATATGAGAAAGAAAGGCATTAGGAGAGAACCGAAAACCCACCACCTGAAATAAAGAGACTTAGCATGCAAGCACGCGGTTAGTAAATCGAATTCAGCGTGCCTACAAACGCTGCGCCGGGGCTGCCTACGTTCACTGCGGGACCCATCGTCGCTTCGGCAGTGGTCCCGAGTGACCTCTCTCATGGCTCACTAGGCCTGCCTGACTAAGGCACTCGCGACCACATATTCTACAGCACTATGCGCTCGATGTCGATGGAGTACAATTTATTGGTGCTTGCCGCTTCCGCAACTGCCGCTTCTTCTCTGCATGCATGAGGGCTTTCTCCCGCACTTCAGCAACTGCCTTCGTGATTACATCGCGCCATGCACCACGATCAACCGCCTTCGATTCCCATGATCTGCAATCAAGATTAGAACGTGTGAGGCTCACTTTAATCATGTCCTGGTAACGTAACTTTGGTTTCCCAGCATGCCGCTTCCCTATACTCAGCTGACCGTATAAAAGTTGTTTCGGTATTCGCGTCGAATCCATACGGCTCACATGACCGAGCCATCTCAGGTGTCGCAGTAAAAGTATGCCGTCCACTGCATACATCCCACTTCGGCGCAACACTTCCGTGTCTGCAACTCTGGCGCCCCAACCGATCCGCAAAATTCGTCGCAGACACTGTTGATGGAACCGTTCGAGATATCGCACATCCCGACGGTACATCGTCCACGTTTCGCTGCTGTACAGAAGAACGGACAGTACCATGGATTTGTACACCATCAGCTTCATGCCAAGGGTAAGCTGGTGGTTGTTCCACACTCGGTACTCAAGCTTCCCGAAGGCCGCTGCCGCCTTCGACACGCGATTACGCAACTCAACGTGTAGCTGCTGATCAGTCAACATCACACTCCCAAGGTAGCAGAAGCGGGAGGTGGTTTCCAATATTTCAGTACCAATGCTGATTTGCGGCAATATTGAAGATTGCACCTCCGGTGAAGGCTGAAAGAGACAGACAGTTTTGCTTGTGTTGATGGTGAGCCCGAATTTGGCCGCTGTCGAAGCCAGAGCACTAGTCATGTGCTGCAACTCATCCGCGCTGTGTGAAAACAACGCACAGTCGTCAGCAAACAGCAACATACGGATAGTTGTCTCACAGACTAGAGTTCTCGCACCGAAACGACGGATGTTCAGCAACCCACCATCAATACGGTGCTCCACACGAACACCGTAAGCACAAGCCGCATCAAAAGCACAAGACAACATTGCATGAAGATAGATATTAAACAGGGCAGGAGCTAACACACAGCCTTGCTTCACACCAGAGACAACTGTAAAGTCATCAGAGGTCTCTCCACTCAGCTGCACCCTCGCTCGCATACCACTGTGCAGACATTCAATTAAACTTACAAACTTACGCGGGCAACCAAACTTACCCAACACCAGCCACAGTGCCTCGCGGTTCACCGTATCAAATGCCTTGGTGAAATCAACAAAAAGCGAGTACAATGGCTGGTGTCGTTCTCTGCACTTCTCTTGCAACTGACGAGCCGCAAACACCATATCTATAGTGCTGCGACCCGAACGGAATCCACATTGCTCTTCCGCCACGTTTGGTTCCACAATCTGACTCACGAGGCGATTGAGCAGGATTCGGGCAATCACCTTGCCCACACAACTCAGCAAGTTGATGCCACGATAATTCGTGCAACATTGCTTGCTACCTTTGCCCTTGTACAGTGGTAGCACAAGGGCATCCTTCAGCTCAGAAGGCACCTCCTCCTCAATCCACACGCGTTGCACCAAGTGGTGCAGCGCAGTCAACAACGCGGGTCCACCGTGTTTCAATACTTCAGGTGGGATCCCGTCACCTCCGGCACATTTGCCGTTTCGCAGCTGAGCAAGTGCTCTCTGCGTCTCATCCAGTCTCGGCGTATCCGCCAGATCCGCCTTCACATCGTGCTGCTTCAGGCCATTCAATGTAGGCCAGTCGATCTCTGAACGGTTGTTCAAGAGACAGTCAAAGTGTTTCCGCCAGACCTGCATTATGTCTGCAGTCTGGGTGCAGGTAGCGCCTGAACTACCATCGATCAGTGTCCTCAGCGGCTCCAATCTCGGTCCATACACCGCCTTCAAGGAGTCAAAGAATTCCTTGTGTTGACGGCGTTCGGCGTAGCATTCCATCTGCTTCGCCTTCTCCGTCCACCATGCATTTTTAATGCGACGGAGCTCTCGGGTCAGTCGCCGTCGAAGTTTGCGAAACTGACTACTCTTCCCCAAGTCACTGGGGTCTGCAACATGTGCAGCAAATGCTGCATTCTTCTCTGACACCAATGCGTCAATCGTCACATTGTTGTCATCAAACCAATCAGGCCGCTTACAGTTTGCGCGCCCGATGGTCTCCTCCGCAGCAGCTGTCACCTGGTCGCGAATGTGGTGCCACAGGTCGCCCACTGTGGCTATACAGTCCACATCACCACACAGGCGTGCAGCCATCGCCTTCTCCAGCTCAGTACGTTTCGCCACAGTACCGAGGGAGAGAATGTTAAATTTACGCCGATTCACGGCGGGAGTGCAATACATCGATTTACGAAAATATATGTACAGTTTGGTCCGAACCAATTTGTGATCAGTGCCACACTCAGCTCCACGCAGTACACGTGTCATGCGCACTTCACGCATATCACGCTGACGTACGATGACATAGTCGAGCAGGTGAGCGTGACCACTCCGTGGGTGCGTCCAAGTTGCTATATCACTCGCACTCAGTGCAAACCGAGTGTTCGTGATCGTCAGGCCGTGAGTGGCACACAGTGAGAGCAGCCTGTCACCGTTCGCATTCGCTGAACCAATGCCATGCGCACCGATAACATCTGTCCACGCTGATGCATCACGCCCAACGCGCGCGTTGAAATCACCCAGCAGAAATAGTCGGTCGCTCCTCGGCACAGACCGTATCACGGAGGATAGCTCAGTGTAGAACTGATCACGCGTGTCATCAGGATAACACATGGTCGGACCGTACGTGCTTATAAAAGTAGCAAACTTACCTCTTCCGAGTCGTAGGCGAACAGTCATCAGCCGCGCGCTGATGCCCGTTGGTTCACCCACCAGCTGGCCATTCAGGCGGTCGGATATTGCAAATCCGACCCCATGTTCACGTGGTGCTGAGGCGGCGTTCCCCACCCAGTAGAATGTGTAGCCAGCACCTGCTTCATGTAACTTACCTTGCTCAGCGAGCCGAGTTTCACTGAGCGCCGCAATATCGATGTGGTAGCGCGCCAGCTCCATTGCGACCAGTGCAGTGCGTCGCTCCGGGCGCTCGCTCGAGTTCCGGTCCAGTAGTGTGCGCACGTTCCAGCACCCGATGCTGAGTGCTTTGCGCGCAGGCATACGATTGCATTGGTGGGCAATCGCACGCGAGGTGGTCGTTGTGCTTCGGAGGTTTGCTTGAGGGACTCCACCCGGAGCCTTTGGCTCAATAGCCTGACCCACAAGGCAGTGGGTGGTTTGGAGGTTTGCTTGAGGGACTCCGCCCGGAGCCTTTGGCTCAATAGCCTGACCCACAAGGCAGTGGAGAGCAGATCCAGCTCGGGAATGTGATTGCAGAGACAGATTGGGATCTGCTTGACGGCCGTCACACGCAGCCTTTGAGGTTCTGGAACAGTTATCATATGTTTTGCGACCGTAATTGGATACGCACCTGCGACCACGGCCAGACGCAGGTGGGTTTTTGGCGGGTTTGCACCAATTTGACCAGGGGCTGCCTGGCTTGAGGCGGGCAGTAGCAAACCATTGAACACCCGGAGGTGTCCTCCCACCGTCAGAGACAATGCGTGGCACTCGTGCTCTACGCCAATCGAGCATTGAGAATATAACCCGTAACCTGTTGTCTCCCATGGCTAGGTTTTACGGGAAGTGGGCCATCGACCACTTCCTAACCTCCGGAGAGGATGGACTAGGATACTGCCAGGGCGCCCAATCCTGACAGGAGAACGACTCGGGTCCTCAGCCAAAGCCTTCGATTAAAT